CTGTCCTCAGCTCTACAGAGCTTGTGAGCCTGTTGTAGTGTGTCATAATCATAAATGTAGTGTTTCGATCTAAAAAATCTGATTACTGCATTATATCGAATGCATGCAATTTTAAGGAAAAATATTAGGTTTACACATATTGATAAGAACTAAATATTAGCTATGTTTATATATTATATTTATAAATGAAAAAAATGTTGACATTTGTATAAATAAGGTTTTGGAGCTGGAGTCTGACTCATCAAGACTGTAGCAGCATTATACTTGGCCACATGGAGCAATGACTCATGGGACAGAAGAAGTTTAAAGTAAACAGAGGAATGGAATAAAGCTGACAGTGTTCTCTGCCCCTCAGATAGGAGGCGTGGCCTCAGGTTTCCACCATGTGGTCACCAATGACCTTTCAGCACAAAGACTCCTCCACATCAAGGGCCGGCGGGTCGTCAGGGCCACTCAGGTCCCTCTCAGCTGGTCCAGCTTCAACAGTGGAGACTGCTTCATCGTCGACCTCGGCGACGTAAGGGCACAGTGTTTCTTTGCTGAATGTTTGCAAACTGGATTATCTATAGAGAAGTTTCTATGATTCCCTGTCTGCCTGTGTGTTTACCAATTTGTAGAAGATCTATCAGTGGTGCGGATCCAAGTGTAACAAGTTTGAGCGACTGAAGGCAGCACAAGTGGCCAGAGGAATCCGTGATAACGAGCGAAATGCCCGAGCCGAACTGGTGGTTGTAGAAGAAGGATGTGAACTATCGCAGTTAACTGATGTAAGTCTCAACCCGTTATTTTACATATGCAGTTCTTTATCTCACATGTGTCTCATGATGTGTCTGACTCAGACATTTGTTTTTTCTTTTTCTGTATTTTCAGTCTAAGTAATAATAAATCTAACCAATAATAAAACTAAAATAAATATTTCAACATTGTGTGATGTATGCTTCTTTGCTTTTTCTCTGCAAGTGAGGTTTCCAGATGGATATCACAATCGCATGTCTGTGTGTTAAAGCTGCAGTAGATATTTTTTCTAAAAATAACTTTTTGTCATATTTGCAAGAAATCAGGTTCCTTTAGCTTCTCCTAGTGTGCCTAATGGCATTTCAGAATGCCAGAATCCACTGGGCCTGAACGAAAAAAACCAATCCCAGCCAAGAAAGATAGTTGACTGTTCAGTCTCATTCCAAAGTCATTAAAAACGTTTTGTGAGAGCTGAATAAGATAAAAAAGACTTAAGTAGCTTGAAGATTGATTGTTCAGTCTCATTCTCAGCGTCTGTATTTGACAACCTGGGAATGAGACCAAACAATCAACTATCTTCTTTGGCTCTGATTGGTTGTTTTTTTTCAAGCCCGGTGGATTCTTGCAAATGCCATTAGGAGCACTAGGAGAAGCCAGAGGAACCAGATTTTTTCACAGATTATCTGTCTCATGTACTACTGTCAGGATATGGTAATAGTTTCAGCAAATGTAACAAAGTTATTTTTATAAAAGTTACCTACTGCAGCTTAAGTACAGACCTGGAGTCAAACACAACACAACAGTTTGTGGCTTTAACGGAAGAGACAATATAGTTGAGAAATGGAACAGGTTGTGGTTTTGGTACCAAACCTGGCTTCCTTGCTGTCAGAACACCATTTGATGCTCACAGGACCTGGCTGCCAGGAACTAATAGCTTTGTGTAAAACCACATATTGCTATTTTTACATTTCTGTTTGTGTATGAGTAGCTTAAAGTATTTTAAATGGCGTGCTTTAAGCTTCTTGCAGGCAAAAATGGCCCAAATCTGAATTTCTTTTTTTTTGCTTGTTTTTGTTCATATGTGATACACATCATTATTTTTCAACAAAAACATATAAAATATTCCTTAAGAAACAATATTGTCTCAAACAGTCCACTAAAATATGATAAAGCTGAAATAATAACAACTTTTACCCCATGGCCAGTGGTTTTGTTCAGGTAGGCTTCCATTTTGGATTTTGACACAGATGAGTATATTTTTGAATGTTTGCTTGAAGTCATGTGATTAGACTACTTCACCCATACCCCCTTTATTGTTTTTCATGAAATATAGTAAACCCACTTTATGACCCTCCCCCCGCAACCTGTAAAATGAGTCAACGTTAACCCAGAAATGTTTTATATTAGAAATTTACAGTATGGGTTCCCAGCTTTTAGAAACTGCCAGATGCTAACTTGCATATGTTGGTCAATTAGCATAATTAGCATTAATAAGCATAATCAGAATCAGAATCTGAATTGGGTTTATTGCCAAGTAAATTTTTACATGTACAAGGAATTTGCCTTGGTGCGTTGATGCATTAAAATAAAAATAAAATTAAATATAAATAAATAAAGATAAGGATAAAAATAGAAAGATCTAAAACTGTACAGGAAAGATAT